TTTTCTTTTTCTTTTCCTTTTTCCTTTTTCCTTTTTCCTTTTTCCTTTTTAATTTTTCCTTTTATTTTGTTCTTTTTCTTGGCTTCCTGTTAGGATTTCCCAGTCCTCCTTCTCCACAGCTCCGTAACAGTCCATTTTACCCAGCACATGCTCCCAGCTCACGTGTGAGGGCAGAAACCTTTGCCTGCAGAGAAGCTCCTGCTGTTCTCATTAGCATCTGTTCTACTCCAAATTCTCCCTCTCCTTGCAGATAGGGCCAAATGCCAAGGAGCTGTTCAGGCTGGTGGAGGATTTCATTGATGTCATCGGCTTCCGCATGAAGGATTTCCGGGATTCCTACCAAGTCACGGACAACCTGGGTGAGTTCATTGGCACTCCTCACGTCAGGGAGACCCCCAAAACTGTTAATTACTGTGAAAATGGATAACCTGGGCTGTGGGGAGAGGAGGAGGGAGGGGAGGCAGCAGGTGGTGGGATGTTAAAAGGTCTGGGGGAAGACATGGAGGGGCATAAATACAGGGTGGCTTTTCTCCAAAGGAGTTGGGATTTCATGAGGAAGAAGAGAGATCCACAGAGAGATCTGAGAGATATCTACTAAGTGGAGAACAGATGACGAACTGGGCAGAATTAGACTCTTTCTTTTGTTTCTTGAACACAAGAACAGCCCAGAAGCCAATGGAGGCAGTGAGCAAACAGCAGGCAGTGTTTGATTGATGCTGTGTGCACAATCTCAGCGTGGAACTTGTTACCAGAGGAAGTTGCAGAAGCCAAAAAGTACAGATGGGTTCATGATGGGATTAGGAAAGTGCATAAAAGAGAGGTCCATTGGTGGCTGTTAAAGTTGATGATCTGGATGCAGCCAGGAGCTGAGGAAGTCCTGCTGATTGCTGGGAGGACAAACCAAGGGATGTCTTGTTCTTTCTCACACTTTTTATCAGCTGCTGCTGGCCACTCCTGCAGATAAGGTGCTGGAACAGACTCTCCTGTGCCAGATTTAATGCAGGCAGGATCCTTCCAGCAAAGCACAAGCCCTGTGCTTTTATCTTCTTTCATGCACAGATATTTCCTCAAGAGAGCATCACTCCTATGGCTCTCAAGATCCAATCTCTCTGATTTCCCACTAATGCTTCCCATGTTTTCTTGAGCACACATAGAATTCACTGAAGCTGGTTCCACTTACTGGTTTCATGTCTTGCTTCTCCACAGTCCTTGGTATTCACAAACTGCCTGCAAACGCAGCAACCGACATCACCTTCCCCATGAGAGGCTGGAGGGGAATGGTGGACTGGGCCAAGAACTCGGAGGACAAGGTCACTGTCTCCAAGAGCATCCTGTCTTCAGGGCTCTCAGGTAGGCAGCACAGCCAAGACAATATTTTTCCATCATTTTCTAAGAGTGGTGCCTTCCGTTTGCTTTGTCTTCAAATCCTCTTCCAGATCAGCTGGATTTGCTCACAAATGTTTGGACATTGAAGCATTGATAAGTGCAAATAAGGCTTTCAAATATGGCCTGACTAGATTTCAAACTAAACTCCTCACAAAAATGCAGGGGCAGGTTTAGTGCCTGGGTATGGATGTTTAACTTTCCATAAAGAAGGAAAAAATTGGCAAACAATTCTTTAGGTGCCCTCCAAGCCTGGATCCAGAGCTGATGGAGCCATCTGAGGGTGAGTAGCTGGGAGTCAGCAGGTCAGGCTGAGCAGCTGAGTCTGCTGCTTGGACAAGCTTTGATAGGTCTGGGGATTTATGGCCCTTGTGTGAAATTTCCTGCCCCCAGAAATGAAATTCAGAGGTGTTTATCACTGAGGCTCCACATCAGGGCGTGGATAGGAGCCCCAGCATGGAGGTGGTGCCTCAACGAAGCTGGCCTCACTGCCAGATCTGGAAATCTCTCATTGCATGCTAGGATAACCCAAAACTATTTATTAAAAAAAGACAAACCTGGGGGTTTCTGGGATGGTCTGATGGATGAGAGTCTCAGGAACCAACACACTCAAGGTGCTCATCTTTAGGCAGAGACGACATTTGGCAGGATTGAGCCCTGAGTTCTCAAAAGCAGGACCCCAAATTGGGCTGATTGGTGATGGGATTTACTTTTGGCACTCGTGGCTTTGAGAGCTGCTGGCTCCCCCTTCCTTGGGACAGAGGCTGGAGACTGAGTTGCTGCTACAAAAGTCCTTTAGCCTCGAGTTGTCACACCAGGACCTTTTGTCTTGGGTCTCCCTGCTGGGGATGGCATCAGCCATCACTTCAGCTTGGGAAATCTGAGGGCAAGAGCAGTTAAGTGGTACCCCCAAGGGTAAACAGTGACACAACTGGCAGAGCAAGGACCTTGTCAAGTGCTCCTTGTGCCTGGTTGTGCCTTGCAGACAGCGTGAGCTTCTTGGGAAAAGCTGGAGCAAGTTGGGAACATTATCCCAGTTTCTTTGTGGAAGCTGTGGTGCCTTCAACTTTTGAAATCTTTAATTACCTATTGGATAAATTGCTGAACCAGACCTAGATGAGGCTGATCCTGCTCTGAGGCTGAGGGCTGCCCCAAAAGTATCCAGCTCCCCATGGAGATGTGTTCTAGACTTTGCTCCAGGGCCCCTGAGCTGTAGTGACTGAGCAAACAAAACATAACTTCCACCCTGAGGAAACAACTTCCAATGAGTGTTCACCTCTCCATGGTTTCCTGAGTAGCACCCAGGACTCTTCTGCTTCTGTTTTATTCAGTATCTTGTGCTGGTGGTGTAGGTTTTGAGGGGTTCCTCAGTGATTCCAGCAGAAATCCACCTCTGTTAGTTTTGATCCTCCCTTTTCACTGGGAACAGGAGTAGCTATCCTGAGCAAAGTACAAGGACAGGCAGCTTCTTGAGACCAAATCCAAACCCCCTCACTGCTGGCAGCTGACTTTGAACAGTTGATTTTGATGGGCCAACACTGATTTATGCAGCTGGGTGACAAAACAGCTCTACAAGCCTGTCTGTCAGTCTCTCCCAGTTATGTGCTCACCAGATATCCCAATTTGATGATAAGAACGAGAGACATGCAGAGCTGTGCCTGTCCTGCAGTGATGAAGCAGACACACTGTCAGCTCAGCCTCAGTACAAGATATCAGAGAAGCCCCACCTGGTGCTTTCCCAGGCTTCTTCAGCATTGTTTTCCACACAGCCACTTGCTTTTTCTCCCCCATGAAAATCCAGCCCAGGGGCTGACTCTGCTGCTCGTGGTTTATCAGGGGAAGTTTAGGCTTTTTGCAGCTGGGGCACCATGAAGTGGTGGAGGAGGAGAAGGATAAATAAGAGAAGGAGGAGGTTAAGTGACGTGCCCAAAGGTCACACAGATGATTCAGAGGCTCATCTGGATCTGCTGCAGCCCCCAGAGGCAGCACATGAGTTTTGGGGTCAGAGCAGGCGCAGTGGGACCTCTCCCCTTCCCTCTGGCCCTGTCGGCGCGAGCACAGCTCTTCTCTCTGACGGCCTGATAGCTGTGGACGGCTCCAAAGGCCTTGAGGTGGCTGCAAGAGACCTTTCCCCCCTGCAGATTTGTCTGCTGTGGTGCTGTCAGAGGAATTTGGGGGTTTCTGAATGGGGGAGCACCGTCTGGGAGGGGTGAGCCTTGGTGAAGGCAGAAATCCGGGATGCTGGGTCACCCCAAAGGTGCTGAGCCCTCCCTGTAGTGACCGCAGCCACTGCATCCCACTGCAGTGATGTTGGCATTGGCCATGCCCCAACAGAGAGCCCTCCAGCACTGGCCATGCTCCTCCAGAAGCCAAATCCTGCCCTGGGGTGTCCCGTGGGGACAGCTGCCACCCTGGTTGTCTCAGTGCTGTTGTCTCCTTCCCTCTCCTCCGGTGTCCTGCAGTGTCGGACGACTCCTCTGTCTTCGTGGTTGGGACCGTGCTCTACCGGAACGTGGGCAACATCCTCTCCCTGCAGAGGTAAGAGGGGCTGCCTGGGCGTGGGGAGCAGCTGGGAATCACCAGGATGATCCCTCTGGCTGCTGAGCACTGGTCCTCCAGGGAAAAGTAGAGATCACTGGGTGCAACCAGACAGAATTTGACCTGCAGTGAGAATATTTTGACCTCATGTTCAGGTGGGGCCACGCATCGCAGGTCGGAGGTGCAGGAATGTTTTCCCCATCCACGTGCAGCACCCCAGACACGAGGCGAGGATGCTCAGTGCTGCTGTCTCCCTCTTCCCTGCCACCCTTCGCCCTCCAGGAATGAAACCTCACCCTGCCCTCCTGGTGACGGGGGATTTTGGCAGCCCTGACAGATGGGGGATGCTCAGCTGCCCCGATCTTCCCGAGCTGCCAGGGAGCTGCCAGCCACACTGAGCCCTGGAGAGCAGCAAGGCAGAAATCAGGCTGGGGAGGAGAGAGGGGAGCAGACCACGCCTGGCTGCACACTTCTGCCTCGGGCACCGAAGCTTTTGTGTTGAACACTCCCTTCCCTTTTCTTCACTCCTCTTCCTTTTCCTCTCACACTTTTTTTTTGTTTTCCTCCTCAATGACTGGTACTGAGGCAGTAAATTAAGAATCCTAAGGCACCTTCTAAATCTGTTCTGCACTGATTAGTGTGAGCCCATTTACCATAAACACCAGGGCATCTCTCCTCACCGATAATCATTTAAATACCTCCAGATTTAGCACTGGCAATGGCAAAAGAGCTCTGAGTGAGTGCAGAGAGGAATTAGCCAGCCAGCCAACTGTATTCTGTAATATCTTCCATTACAGCAGTGGGAATTAGATCAGAAGGGCAATAAACATCATTGGCTCAAATGATCCAGTGGTATTTCAGCTTCCTCTGGCCAGGCAGGGAATGAGCTCTGATAACCAGCAGCTGCAGCAGCCGCAGCCTCCGATCTGCGTTCCCAGAGGAGAGCTGATTTAAGATGTTCCTTAATTAAAGGACAGTCCCTCTTTAAAAACATCTCGAGTCTTGAATCACTTGTGGACAGTCAAATGAAAAACAAAATAAAAGATAAATGAAAGCAGCAGTAAAATACCTCTTACTTCAGTGCTGTGCAAATGGACACAGCGTTAAAAAGGAGAATGTTGATAAATAACCACGTAGCTGCCTATGGGTCAAAAATATTCTGACAACTGAGGAGACCAGTTATTCCTGGGTACACATAAGAAATATGGACTCAAACCCTGGACTGGACCACTCTGATTCAATGCAGAGGGTTTCTTCCAGGAAGGAAAAAAGAACAAGTGGATTTAACTCAACAAACAGCACCAGCTGAGCTGTTCCTAATTGTCCCAATTTACCTCCCCCCAAGCAGCAATTCCGTCTCTGAGTCACACATTACTCTGTCCCCTTGGATCCAGAGAGCCCAGCAGATCTTGGCAGCCGTGGCAGTTGGGATGGGCTGCACACAAAACCTGATTTTCCAAGCCAGGGAGGTGAGAGAGGCGCTTGGTCCCAGCTGGACTCTGCTGCAGAGGACACGGACAGCAGAGAGCCACCAGCCTGGCTCTCCCTGTTAGCCAGCACTGTGCCCACAGCCCTTTGCACACCCTCGGTGCCCACTCAGGAGCCCCCTGAGCTCCTGCTCAAGCACAATCTCTGCGTGTGTTGTTTCCTTCCCAGAAGACGAACTGCAACGTGCTTGTAGGAAAAGCGACTCATCTTCCTCCTGAAAGATTCCCCGTGACACTGAGTCCTTCTCCGCCCCCGACAAGCTGCTCAGCTGCTTAATTACCTTCTCTGCCAGGAGCCTGCCTCTCTTTTTAAGGCTGAATTTGTCTGGCTTTCACTTCCAGGCATTTGGCCTTCGGGTGGGTGACTGAAAAGCCCCCCCACGTGCAAGGAACTATCAGACAAGCTTTCCAACAGAGAAATTTTGTTTGTTTTCCTGCACCTGGATCGATTTTGTGTCTCTGTTTTGAAGTCCGTGTGCTGTTTCCACCTCTCAAAGTGAAATTGAACCCAACAGCACAGTGGAATCCAGACAAGGAGGGTGCAGACATTCTTTGCTTCATCCCAGTGGAGGGGATTTTAAAGATCATCCCATTCCAACCCCCTGCCATGGGCAGGGACACATTCCACTATTCCAGGCTGCTCCAAGCCCCATCCAACCTGGCCTTGGACACTTCCAGGGATGGGGCATCCACAGGTTCTCTGGGCAACCTGTGCCAGGACCTCACCACCCTCTGAGCAAAGAATTTCTTCCCAACATTTGATCCAAACCTCTCCTCCTGTAGTTTAAAACCATTCCCCCTTGTGTTGTCATTATTTATCCACATTAAAAATTGCTCTCCATTGTTTTTATAAGCCTCCTTCAACTTCTGGTTGGGCTGCAGCTTCTTGGCCACTGATCACCCTTCACGGTCTGCACACCGGTGGCTCCTGTGTTCCAACAACTTGCCACGCTGAAAAATCAAATTCTCTTTCTGTCTGTGTTGGCTGCATCGATTCTCAGCTGCCCCTCAGCCCCCACAAGGAGGTTTGGGTGTCATCCCTGCTGCTCCTGCGAATATTCAGCAGCGCTGACCCAAGGACTGACCCTTACAGACACAGCCTCTAATGAAGACATGCACTGCTGCTTGCCTTTCAGCACATCCCAGTTTTAGCTTCTTACAGCTGCCTGCTCCCATTGATTTACTCCTTTACTTTTACTCTGTAGGGTGATAGTTGGGCTTTGCCACGTCATTCTTTTTTCTTCTTTTTCTCGTTTAATTTTTTCCTTTTTTTAAAAGGAAAAGATATATTTTTGATTTTTTTCTTTCTCTGTTAAATCAATGTTGTTGTTCCCTCTAGTGTTAGTGGAACAGTAGCCTTTTGAGCATCCACTTACACATCTGTGGACAATTCCAAATATTTTCCCCCTTTTTTTTCTTTAAACACTATTTTTTTTAAGCTGCTGTTAAGCAAGTGCAAATCTTTCCCATCTAATTATTTTTTAAAAAGAAAGATAAAATCCAGAGAGAAAAGCAAACTATTTTTGCACAGTTTGTTAAACTTCAATAAATGCAGAAAAATTAGGAAACTGTATATTTTGATGTCCAGTGTCCAGGGAAGTGCCTACAAAGAGTTTGGCTTTCCAGGAAGGAGAGATACCTCCTCACTTGTTGCCCCTCCCAAGAGCCAAATCTCCCAGGGCTGCCAGATTTATTACAATATTTGTCTGGGCACAGACATTTAGACATCTACATGAAAGGTTTGGCCTTTTTCCATTTGCTTTTGGTCCTCAGGGGATGAAGATACACACCAGTGCCTCCAGCCAGGATCCTGTGCTGCCCCAAGGATAAGCAACCATGCCTCAGCCTCACTGCAGTGCAGGCTAAGCCAGCCTTGGAGAGGCAAAACGGGATTTTTTTTGGGGGGGGAAACATGTGGAATCATGGAATATTCTGAGTTGGAAGGGACCTGCAATGCTCACTGCAGTCCAAATGAGCTCCTCATGGCAGAGACAGAGAATGAGCCCAGGAATATTTTATTTCTGGGAAAGATACAGACTCTAAGGCCAGTTGCTTTAGGGGTTGATAAGGTTCATAAAATGGTTTGATTTTGGATGTGGTTTGGCTGTGAGGGGAGCCCAGGGGGTGCATCAGCAGCAAATGTCTTGGGGAGAATTTTATAATAATGGGGTCAACCCCTTTCTGCACTGTGTACTCTAAACCTTGCACCCCCAGTGATGGTTGCCACAGGATTCCCTGCTCCACAAAAACCCCTCTAAAAGCTCTCTTTCCCCTCTCCTCCCCAGGAACAGCACCGTTCTGAACTCCAAAGTCATCTCTGTGACTGTGAAGCCATTCCCTCGGTCTCTCCTCACCCCTCTGGAAATCGAATTCTCCCACCTGTACAACGTAAGTGGTTCCTGGGAACCTGCCCCATCCCACGGCTGTGTTTGCTTCTGCAGGGCAGGAATGTGTTGCTGCAAGGAAGGAGGTGGTTTTGATGGGCTCCTGACATCTTCCCCCCAAAAAAACAAAGCAAACTTCATTTCCAGAGCAGCAGGAGGGTGACGCTGCTGGCACAGGGGACATGGCCGTGATTGTCCCCAGTTCACACCATTTCATCGTGGGCATCATCACACAGGAATAATTGTGCACTCATTAAAATAACTTGATGTAGCAATGGTCTTCCTTGAGGAGGGAAAGGCAGGGGGAAAGATTGTTCCCATTAATTCTGGAATATTACTGTTTTCCTCAATGCTTTCCATGGCAGGCAAAAATTCTCTCCGGGTTCCTCTGCTCAACCCTAAGCAGATTTATGGGATGGACATTTACATACCCCAGGGCCCATTCTTGTGAAGATCAGATGCCCTCCTGAGGCTCTACAACATGAATATTGAGATCTGTTGTGTCTTTGGACTTTGCTGGAGGGATTTTTCCAAAGCTGTCTCAGCAGCTGAAGTCTGAGGCAAACCACTTCCAGGAGGCTTTAAACACACCTGACCCCCTCCTGCAGGGCTGTGCTTTTGTCCCACAAATGCAGAGGCTGTATTTGATCCACTTTCCAGAAGGGAGCAGCAAAAGGATTCTGTGTGAGAGGAGGGATAAGGAGGAAGATCCGTGGGTTGAGTCAGGAGAGAGGCAGAGTCAAACCCCTCTGCAGTGCTCATGATGCAGAACGAACCAAAGCATGTTTTATTCTGCCTTTTCAATCCCAGGGTGGCAAAAGCCATTCCAAGGATTTGAGATCCATGACAGCTCGTCTGGTATATCCCAGACACCCCATCCTTAGGGCAGTGGAAGGAGATTTACAGGCCCCACATTCCTCATTCCAGTCCAGACACTCCACAAACAGCCTGACACTGATTTGTTTCTGTTTTCCCTTTCTTGTCTCCTGGCAGGGAACAACCAACCAGACCTGCATCCTGTGGGATGAAAATGATGGGTGAGTCCTGTGGGTTTCTCTTCACTCTCAGAGGTCTGTTTGCTTTTTTGGGTGAAATCATCACAATTTTAACAGTGATGTGTCAGTTCTTGCTCTCTCCACTCGCTATTTAATTTGCCCTGATGGGGAGTGCTTCTTCCTTCACACGTGCACTGCTTCTCTCTGAGCTGTCTTTTAGTGCTGTTTTGGATTTTTCCACATAAAGGATGCATGAACTGGGACCCAGGACTGTGGAACTTCTCAGATTGAGCTCAGCACAGCTGTGCTTGGGTCTCTGCAGTGCTCACCCCAAATCATGCACTGTAAGGAGAGTAACAAAAAGTTGCAAATATGGCCTGTGGAGGTGAAGTTCAGGTGGTATGAACTTTGCATTGTGCTGCTGTGATGTAGAAAAATGATTTTTGCCAGAATTCCAGCAGTGACTGCTGCTGTTCAGGAGGGTTTGAGTGATGTGCTTGTGACCAGCAGGGAAAAAAAAAAAACATCTCAAATTACCACGAAGATTTGGGACCATAAATTCCATATGGGAAGTTGTTGTCCAAGAATGTGCATCATAGAAAGAAAAAAATAAAAACCCACAACCGCTCTGAAAGTGAGGTCTTAAATCCTGAGTGAACTTGACAAGGATACAAAGTGTTTGATTTAATGGTGGTTTTACTTCACTGACTTTTGCATCTCAGTTTGAGCACCTACCTGGCTCCTCTTCTGCTTGCAGTCAGTTCCTCTCCTTGAGATCTCAGACATTTGGCACATGCCCCTGCATTTATTATTGTTATTTATTATTATTACCAGCGCATCTGAAAAATGATTCTATTCTTGTCCTTTTATGCTCCATTAAGTAGCATATGCACACAGAGGCAGGCATCATATTTACACTCAGCTCAGTTCCTGTTGGTCTGGGATTAATTTGGCATCTCTGAGTGGATCCAAAGCAAAGCTGAAGAACCCAGAGGTTCTCCCTGCTTGTGCAATCGCTCCTGTGTTGTAGCCCAGGGCAGAACTGGCCCCTCTGGCTTCTAGTGAAAAATGTTCCAGCATTAGAAGATGGTTGAGATGCAGGTAGACTTTTAAGAAATTAATAAAAGGGGGTTTGATAGTATTTTCTGTGTGCCAAAGAGTGTGTGGGTCAGCACAGAGGGTTGGATTGGGGGGAAGCTTCAGGAGCTGGCCTGCTCTGCTAGATCTGATGTTTCTCCAAGCTGGAATGGAATTAAAGCACTTGTACAACAGCCCAGTCTTTGGCAAGTAAAGGCAGGAGCTGGAACCACTGCCCCTTTTGCTCTGCACTCCATCCCACTGCCTTTGGCTTGCCAAAAGCAGAGAGAGGGTTGTGTCCAGGAAGATGGAGATGTTTCCCTGGATTCAATTAGCTGCAGCCTGAGCATGAAAAGAGCAAAATCCAGTTTGGGCATGGCTGAGGGACAGGGATGCCATTCAGGGTGGCTACAGGAATCTGTCAGAGCTGGCACTGGGAAGTGCCTGGTAGGACACAGATGAAGGCTTGCCCAGTGCTGAGCATGGACTGAGAGGTTTGGTTGGCATTTCTGAACTGGAGGCAGAGCAGCCCAGTTCAACATCATCAGCTCTGCCTCATCCTAGAGAATGGTTTGGGTTGGAATGGATCCTAAAGAGCATCTCATTCCAACCCCCTAGACCAGGTACTGCCTGCCCTGGGAGCTCTGGCTGCTCCACACTCTTCCTCCCAAGGCTCAGCAGCTTCTTGGGCTGTCTGTTGTCCCTCTGGAAGTGCAGGATGCTGGGATTCCTTTCAGTCTTCCATCACTGCATCCTCATGGCACCAAAGAATGGGAGCTAAGAGCTGAGCAGGAAATTTCTTGCCACCAAGGCCACAGGTCAATTTTCAAGGATGGATTCCAACCCCCCAGCAGATTGGTTGTGCAAATGCTGCTGCTAAGCCTCCACTTTCTCCATGTTTTGGGATTTTAGGGTGTGTGTGTGTGCATGCCTGCAAGTGTTTGCAACCAACATTTACAATCTTGAGCAGCTGAAAAGCCCCAGATCCTGATATCAGCAGATTTTTGCTCGGACAATGTTCCAAAACTTAGAGCTGATCCAGCAAGCTCTGGCGAGGGGAGCTGCCAAACTGTTGGTGCAATATTTTAAAAGCTGATTTGCACAACATTTGAAAGCTGATTTGCTATCACTGCCACCTCTTGGGAAAGTCTAATGAAAGGCAAATTATGCAAACCCTGTTCCACAGTCCTGACTGCTCACCTCAAACTTGAACAGTGCTCTGGAGCTGTTGAGGGGTTTGAATCACAATTTTGGGTTATTGTTTTCTGCTTGGAACAAGAACTTTTGCACCCTGGTATCTGGTAGAGGTCCTGATTGGTTTCTCTGTGCCAGGAAACCTCATGGTTCAGCCACTCTTTTGTGGTTCCCCTCTTTGCTCCCTTCTCCTCCTTCCTTCCACCTCTCCCTGTGGCCTGGAGGTTTTCCCATCCATCAGTCTCATAAGGTGGTTGTGCCAATGGGTGAATCTAAGGGTGTCCCATCCCTGGAAGTGTTCAGGATCAGGTTGGATGGGGCTTTGAGTAACCTGGTCTAGGGGAAAGTGTCCCTGTCCATGGCACAGGGGCTGGAATTAAATAATTAAATGTTCTTGAAGGTCCTTTCCAAGCCGAGCTGTTCCACGATTCTGTGAAATCCCGTTTCCCAGTTCTGACCCATTTAATGGTTTTACAGCTTCATTTCTTTGCCTGTTCTCCCCCTGCTGCATTCCATGGCACAGGGGTTGGAATTAAATAATTAAATGTTCTTGAAGGTCCTTTCCAAGCCGAGCCGTTCCACGATTCTGTGAAATCCCGTTTCCCAGTTCTGATCAATTTAATGGTTTTACAGCTTCATTTCTTTGCCTGTTCTCCCCCTGCTGCATTCCCTGTGTGGCCCAAGCCAGCCTGTTGTGGTGTTGCTTTCTCAGAAGATGCTGAGCCCCCTGAAAATTCCTCTTTTGCCTCTCTCCGTGTTCCTGTCCAAGGATGGGTGGCCAGGTGGAGCTTCCTGACACTCACAGCCACCCCCCTGAGGCTGCAGATCTCAGTCACCCAAATTCCACCTGATTCCTAACCCTAACCCTAACCCTAACCCTAACGTGATTCCACTGACCCAGCCTCTGGTTTTAACCCCTTGCCTCCTGTGACTGAACAGGTACAGAGGCTGGAAACCTGGAGCAATCCTCCCTTGAGAGCTCCTGCCTGTTCCTGCAGCCACCTGAGCTTCCAATCCCATCCAGAGCCAAAATCCTTTAAAGGTCACTTAAAATCCATGGGCTGTGAAGGGTTGGACTGTAAAATTGCAATTAGAATCAGACAATTATCTGGTGACCACGTGCTTCCTCAAAGATGGAGCTGTCAAACAGAGCACTTGGAAATAGAAAAAGAGGAAGAACCCTTGAGTGTTCATTAATTTGCATTTAGATGGATATTTAAGCTTGTACTATTAACAATGGATTTTTGATTTATTAATCCCAGCCCTTGTGAGTGACTCTGAGATTCGTGGGTGGCACCTCTTCCTCTCTTTTCTCTTTCCCTCGCCCCCAACTCCTCATGGCATGAAATAAGAGGGGAGAAGATCAGGGACTAATTTCTGTTGTGTTGGGTGCTGCGAGTGTGATTAATGAGCTTAGCATGGGCTGGGTAAATTGAAAGTTGAAATCAGAGAATTATTTGGGATTCTCTGGCTCTTCTCCAAGGGTATTCATCTGGAGTAATTATTGGCTGCTTAGCCCTGATGAAGTGAAAACCCAGGCAGGATCTGGTCTCCTGCTCCCTCTTTTTCCTCCTGGGACAGGGGAGGAGTTGATAAATAGAGCCATGGTTGTGTGCTCATGTTCTTGTGAGTTTCATTTCTCACCTGCCTTGCCCTGGTACACAACAGGGATTTCATTTGGCAATGAGAACAGGAAGACAGAGCCAAGGTTTGTTACTGGTGCTGACAGCATCACTTCACGTGCCTTTACAACTCCCTGAAAGGACGTTTTAATGAGGTTGGAGTCAGTCTCTTCTCCCAGGTAAAAAGTGACAGGACAAGAGGAAATGGCCTCAAGATGCACGGGTGGAGGTTTAGATTGGATATTAGGAAAAAATTCATCACTGGGAAAGTGGTCAGGCTTTGAAACAGGCTGCCCAGGGAGGTGGTGGAGTCACCACTCCTGGGAGTATCCAAAATATGTGTGGATGTGACACTTGGGGATGAGGTGTAGTGGTGAGCATGGCAAAGGTAGGTCAAGAGTTGGGCTCAGTGATCTTTTCCAGACTTAACAATTCCATGATTCTGTGGCTGCAGAGGAAGATGTGGGGCTATTTAGTGTTGCAAGGCTGTCCTGCTGCCCCATGGGGCTGCTGAGTCTGGGTTCAGGCCGTTGAAGCTGTGTTTGGGTATTCTTTGAGCACGGGATCAGGTAAATGAGGAGAACTGGTGTGAGATGGAAAGGGACAGTCACAAACCACAAAGTGTGGGATGTCTGACAAGGGCATGGAGTGATGGGGCAAGGGGAATGGCTTTAAAGTGAAATAAAGTAGGTTTAGATGGATATTAGGAAGAAATTATTTGCTGTGAGGGTGATGTTGGAACCCTGAAAACTGGAATGCCCAAGAAAGTCTCATCCCTGGAAGTGTCCAAGGCCAGGCTGGACAGGGCTTGGACCAACCTGGGATAGTGGGAGGTGTGCCAGGGGGTTGGAATGAGAAGATATGTAAAGTCTCTTCCATCCCAAAATCCTATGAAGGGTCTGGAGAGGCAATATGGGATCAGGCTGCAACAGGTGAGCGCAACTTGTCCCCTCCTTGGTGACAACAGGGTCCAAGCCAGCTGAGGGCTTGTATTTTAGCCCCTGGTGCAGGAGACAAAATCAGGCCATGCAGGTGTGAAACCCAAGCCCAGACACACAGGGAGGGAGATCCAGCAGGTCTGCATTGCCAGGGGAGCCCTCATCCCACAGGGAACACCTGGCTCCTGAGCAACTCCTCTGCTCTTCTGTC